TCCAACATTCTTCCCAGAGCTTTAGCTAATTCTTTCTCTCTATGTATACATGTATTAATATTGGAACAAGTAATAGGTTTATTCCATGCTGAAAAAAAGAAGAAAGAGAACACAACGTTTCGGCCGTGGAGCCTTCTTCAGGTGTGTGACACGCACGCTGACGCAGCTACCCACCTGATATATTAATATTTACTGTCTGTGTAGTGTCAGGTTTTTGCCTGTATGTGGGTGTGTGTTGATCGGGTTGTACCTGACCCCTTTCTTTCCCCCCTTGTTTTCAGGAACATGGAGAACATTGACCCGGACAGGACACCTGGATTCGTATTCGAGACCATCAAACTGCTTTCATTCTGCCTGGCTAAGGTAGGGGCTGAGGAAATACTTACTCCCCGGTACTTATGTTTCACTATTAACAGAAGGAGGGTCTGGGAGCAGTCAGTGTTTAAAGGGGTTTTGCACAGGCTGAAAGTTAGGGGCATCTCCTAAAGGTTCAGTAAATATGGCCACAACTAGTAACTAGGAAGGACATTTCCTTAACTGAGCTACATTAGTTCATCAGTCCAGACCTCATTCTGGTTTCTGGAGCCTTAAATGGACTAGAGAGTATGTGACATCCCTGAATGACATCCCAGTGATGCTGGTCTCAATTTATACAACTGTGTGGACTGGAGCAACTGGAGTAAAGTGCCTCACTCAACGGTACAACTGCAGAGACTTGAATCCACAACCTGTCAGTTAAAGGGAAACTGCAGTCCAAATTTTTCAGACCGGCTATTAATATAATAATAATTAATAATAATAATAATTGCTTACACTTATATAGCGCTTTTCTGGACACTCCACTCAAAGCGCTTTACAGGTAATGGGGACTCCCCTCCACCACCACCAGTGTGCAGCATCCACCTGGATAAAATCGCAATAACTATTAAATCGCAATAACCAAATAAATTCATTGAGAGTATAGAAAAAAAATTCAAATTTCGAATGAAGCAGAAAATCGTGAACGTTGTGCAAGTACTGCAAGTCGCCATGTTGTCACAAAACCCTGGTCTCGCCATGGGCGAGAGCAAGAGTTTGTGCGAATTGTGACGTGAAGCGACCCTTCCTGCTCACTAGTCGCTGTAATGACTAATGTTACTAATGTAATGTGCAAATAAGCACAGGTTGAGCACCAGACATTTCACCACAGAAAGTTTCCAACGTGAATTCTTTTTAACGGCAAAACCGTCTTGAAATCGGGAGCAGTGTTTCTGTTGGATTAAAAGAGATGTATTCACAAGCCACATGATGTCACCGGAAGTTTTGTTGCCTCTTTCTGAATTGCAGAATATGGTGCTGCGCATACCTTGGTGATGGTGTCTGTTGTGTGATGGAAATTTGCATTTTACTTTTATTGTGAATTGCACTCATCAAAGCTGAGTTTTTCTAACCGCAAAACATAAAAATATCATTGCAGTTTCCCTTTAAGAATCCGGAGACTTAACCATTACATTACTCCCCCCTTCTTTTTTTTAAAAAAAAGGGCAGAAATACACATAATGATTGATCTGTTGATTCTTGTATATGAAGAAGAAGGTCAAAATGCAGAAGTTTGAATATGTTTCTTCAGTTTCACCACATCAGTGGTTGACTGGTAAGCCTTTGTGTTTTACAAGCCCTGTGGGTGTAGAAGTCTGCCTGTGCTCTTCTATCAGTGGAGCTGACTGGGGCTGTCCGGTTTGTGCTGTTGTTCATTCTGAGCTCTGTCATAGTAATCACTCAGTGACTTAGTCAATCGTGACTTAGAGAAACAAGCTGTTACAAGTCTCCTGTGTCTTGATTTTGCCTGTCGTCTGAATGACCTAGTACACTGACGCCTGGTGACTCACCCAGTGCAGCGTGATGTAAGTTAGTGGCAGCTCTGCCAAAAGAGGGATTTTGAATCTGATTGATTAGTAAAAGATGGGACCTCCTGAGCAGCGTGGGTTCCAGCCTGGATAGCGCCGCTAGCCAGCTATGACCCACTGCCAGCTCTTCTTCTGTCTCCCGTGTGCACTGGCGGGGTTCTTAGCAGTGAGCTGTATTATATGTAGTGACTGCTCTGAATTAGGTGGGTAAATAGCAAGTCATTGTTCTAAATTTAAAATAGAACTGCCGACAAGTGTCATGAAACTTGACAAAGGAAATGTTTTTTTCTGTTTTTTGTTTGCATCATTGATCTTAAATAGTCCTGTGAAAAGTTGATAGTTATTATATATTTTTTTATATTTGATTACATATATATATATACTTCCCACAAGTACCTCTCCTTCTTCATGCTTTTACAGTGATTTATTGTGCTTTTCAAAGATTTGATGTATTTTTTGTCTAGGAATTTCAGATTAGACTTGTATAAGAGAGCTTTGTGTTGAATTTCTCAAGATTATTCATGCCCTGAGCTCTCCTAGAATTTTTCTGACTATGCTGTGCTTAAACTGGTTCAAAGTAAAAGGTGCTGCGCAAATCATTCTGTGTGGTAATCAGAGCCCTTACAGTCCACGGATGTCTTTTTGATTGTGAAACACTAGGTGTTTCATTTCTGCGAAGGTGCAGTGAGCTTTTCATGGTAGAACTCCACCCACACTGTCCACAGCTCAGGTGGGCGTGCAGCTGGTATATCTGCCTTGTCTTGTTCTTGGGCCAGAGGGCATTTACAGCTCCTGAATTACTCTCTTGCGTCATTTCTTGCACCAGTGACAGTGAACCTCACAGCTAGGTGAGAAAGTGTGTTAGTGTTTCACCAGATGTTTCAGTCTCAGCCACAGAGGTGGGAGACCGAAGCCTTAAAGTGGATCATGGGGTGCGTGGGTCCTGAGTCTTTCAGAAGTGATGAGCACCAAGAGAATTTGCAAAGCATCTGCTCGCACATTTGCTTGATTATCAGTTCATGACAATTTCAGCAGTGTTTTCTGCAGATAACGCATTTCCATGTTTTTCTAAAGTCCAAGGAAATATATAGGATCACATTTCAGAAAGCAGCACGTGTTTTCCATACTGCAGATGACATGCAGGTAACAAAAGAGATATATTTTCAGATTTTGCAGATGCTGCTCTCTGGCAGTTTTGCTGTGTGAGATTTGTAACAGAGCCAAGATCAGTTTCTCCCTGATGCATGTCCCTACACCTGGAATATCTTCAAGTCCTGATTTTTCAATGAAGTGAGGCGGCCGGAGAAACCCATATTGTTGCCATATGAGGCTCATTCTTTTATTTGCATACCATTCAAATCAAGTTTATAGATCAGCATGTGATCCTTTACGGAAAAGATTAGAGCTTCCTCAGCTCTCTTCCTGATTTGCAGAGATAACAATAGCAATAGCAACAACAATAGTGTAGTTTTATATGGAAAAAAAGTAATTGAAAAGATTTAATAAGAAGGAAAGCAGAAGCTAGTGTGTGAGCTGACCTTTTCTGCTTTCCCTGTTGGAGCTGAAGCTCAGAGTGGGAGGGTGAGCACACACCCTGAATCCTCAACTGTACAGTATGTCCTGCCCTGCATGCTCAGGTCCACACAGTCGTAGCACTGCACACTCACAAAAACTGGCCTGTCGATACACTCCCACTTTCGGGCTTTATTCATGGGTGCTCCAAAAAATCCACACACGAAAAGTCACGCTTTTACCAAATGTACTACAGAGACTCGCACAACTATTGCACAGGTTTTTATTTCTTCTAATTGTCGTGATAGCCTTATTGACAGGCTTACATTTTGTCAAATATGGGCTTTTTGTGCCTTTGCCAATTCTAAGACTTGATCAGTAAATTCCACTTCTGTTCCACTGCAGTGGCTACCTCTTTGTTAGTTTCAAGAGGTCTTCCAAGTGAATAATGCAAACTAGGTCAGTTATTTCACTTGCATCTGACCTTTATTTTTAGTTATCCCATTGTGCTTATACAATTATTCTGGATTTGATCAGCAGTTTTGGTTGACTTATAAATACCCTGATCAGTTACTGAATACTCCACATGTGATAAGAAGTATCAGATATTGTTACTTGTTACTTTCACCCTCCTAACAGCACAGAGAATCAGTCCATCATATTTTACAGGAGACCTTTAAATGAACAGTTGAATAAAGCCTAAAACAATTTAACTGTTATCAAACAAACTGGTAGAGTGTTCAATTCTGTAATTTAGAGATCCTTTGTAGTAAAAATAAAAAAACATCCATCATCTTTCGAGGCCTGTTTGTTTCACTGAAACATTAGTCTTATAATTGACCAATTGCTTGAACAATGTGTTCCTGATCTTTAAATAACAGATGCTTCAGGAAAATATTCAGGCTCTCCAGGACCAAGGTTGGAAATTCCTGGTTTAGATTTAGAATAAAAACAGGAATGATGATTGATAACCACAGTCTTGGGTATTGTGGTCTTTGACAACAAGACTATTAAGTGTACATGGCAGAGCTGTGGTGTGGGACCAGATTGACCTCACTGCTGTGTATGCACTCTGTCTCTCTGTGCACTGCCCTCCCTAGCTGTGGAGTTGGGTCTGTCCCACAAACCACATATAACTGTTTACTGTTACACTAGTTTCCTTTTTCCTCAGAGCTGGCTAGATAAGTGTTCTTCTTTGGTTAAGTCCTTGAGGTTGGCTTGGTTGTTAGGGAGCTGGCATGTTTGTAATGTTCATTCCCTTATTCTGAGGTATATTCTGTATCTATGAGGTAGATTGCTGAGATATCACCCATCTTAAATTTAAGATAACATGGGTTATACTACAGAAACAGCTGCAGACAATTTGTATGTGGAGACTATTTCTTAGCTGCCAGTGTAGTTTTCAGGAGAGAGCAAGGAGGTAGGATATGAGCTCCTTGTAGGATAGTTGTTTGCAAATGCATTGCATCCTGGGAATCTGACGCTTCTTGCAGAGCTCCTGACAGAGGACAAAATGTCTGATGTAGATGCACACCTGGAGGCGTGCTAGGAGATCACATTCTTTTGTCTCCAGATACTCCAGCTTCCTCCCGGCTAAATGAGGACATGCAAGCTTGGTTTAACTGGCAGCACTAAATTTCCCCTCAGGGTTTGAGTCCATTTCCAGTAGCCTGAGATGCTGTATATCCCGGTCACATCAGGCACCAAGATAGATACCAGTCCTCAACTTGCAGAGCATGTATGCCATTTGTACACTAAAACACAGCCTTCTCTGAAGGACAAGAAAAATGTACATTTGGTTTAAGAATCATTCTACCTGCGTTCTTAGTTGCACAGCTGAACTAGTCATTTGTTTAATAGAGCATCAGGCTCTGAAGCTGGGGTTCCGCTGGTGTAGCGGGCAGGGCAGGCGGTGATCCAGCCTCTGTGTGTCCTGTCTTGCAGCTGAAAGAGGAGCCGAGAGACGATGAGCAGCTGGAGACGGTGGTGCTGTATGGCCTGCTGCTGCTGGAGAGCCTCTTCGACCCGTACCAGACCTGGAGGAGACAGCTGGCCGGGTGAGGGGGGGTGGGGCAGGGGTCCTTCTGAGGCTAGAGCAGACCTTTTCCGATCCTGGTCCAGGTTTCGTTTTCCAGCCAAGATCTTTGCTCGCTGGAGCAGTCAAGTTATCCCATTGCAGGCCACATTAAAAACAAATTACAGTCACAGTACTTAATATTAAGTCAGGTGCATATGTTAAATATTTTGCCCCGTTCCCAAAAAAGTCTAGCAAGTATTATAGATAACCTTTAAACCATCAATTACTAAAGGCCCAGACCAATTTAACTGTGATCCATTAAATACGCAGTGTGTTCAATTAAGTCATTTAGGGAACATTTGGAAGAAAGATCAGAATATCCTTCAACCCTCAAGGACCAGTAATACCTTCATTGAAGCATTACTTGCTTATTGTGACTAAACAGGTGTTTTGAATCTGTGAATAATATGTGATGTATAAGAATAACTCTCCAGGACCAGGACTCTGGACCATTTTAAATGGGCAGCTTTAAAACAACATTGGAAAAGAACGTTATGTCCTTCTGAGCCACAATTATCTCAAGAAATAAAAGTGAAATGAAGGATATGAATAGCTGTTAACCAGCGGGGTGCTATTTGAAACTGAGGCGTGAGCGCGTGTCACTACGAGGGGAGCTGTGCTGACATGGTCTGTCTGTCTGCCTGCGCTGCAGGGAGGAAGTAAGCCTGCTGGAGAGAAGCAAGTACAAGTTCTCCCCCATCGCTCTGCCAGAGGAGCTCCCAGCCTTCTTCCACGGCGAGTATCCCCGCCTCCCTCCTCCGGCCTGTGGCTCCCTGTGTCCCTCCCGTTTCTCGCCCGAGACTTCTGTGTGCGCAGCGCAATACTTTAACAAAGTAAAGCCCTCAGCTGGCAGAGAACAAATGCTTGCACGCGTGTCTTCTTCACTACTGGGGTGGATTTGCCTCGTGAAGAGTGAGGAGAGGACAAGAGCCTGCACAGAGAGAGAGCTGTCAAACGCATGAGCCTCCTGTTGCTCAGCTTATGTCATTTTTTTGTTAATCATTTGCTGTTTTAGGCCGTACTGTAACTGAATGTGCAATCTACCCCCAGTCTAAATGAGTGTCAATAGGAGTCGTTTAAATTGCTCTGACAGCCCCGTAATTATCCCACGCCCAGTAGAGGTTTCTCCTCTTGTTAGTGCTTCTTGCTCATGGAGTGGGAAATGAGACGTTCCAGGGTGCGGCGGCGTTCAGTTAGCACACCGATGTGCTTGGGTCCTCTCCGGGAGGTGAGCGCTCCCTCAGTTGTTGAAGGATACATCTCAGAACCAGATCTTCCTGCTTCAGGCCGCTCTCCCTGCCTGCCTCCAATGGGCTGGCATGTGCGTGTGTATGTGTGTATGTGTGTATGTGTGTATGTGTGTATGTGTGTATGTGTGTATGTGTGTATGTGTGTATGTGGGGGTGGGAGGGCAGGGATTGGGTGCTACCACACTCTTCTGACCGTGAGACTGGCAGACGCGCCCTGGCAAGCCTGTCGATTTTCAGCGCCGCCTGCGAATCAGACGTGCGAAGGACTCCCCCGGGGCACTGCCATGCTTTTGAAACGGACACAAGCAAATATCCTGAGTCTTTTCTTTTTTTCTCATCTCCCCCCTCTCTTCCTTACTGCTGCTTTCACAAGACTCCCAGATCTCTTCATTCACCGGCAGTTTCACAAGTGGCTGCGTCTTGCACAAGACCTGCAGAAACTCTGGAAGGGTTGGGTTAGGCAATTGTCTGGGGAAACTGGCAGCTCCTGACTCTCCGTCTCTCCTGTAACTCCTTTCTTTTAAAGAGTGAGTCAGACAGGCCCAATAGAAGCTTGCTCCATTTGTGTGAAAGTCTAAGTGCAGAGTAGGGTGTACCAGAGGCACCTAATACTTGCTCCTGGACATAGGCACCAACTTCTCAAAATTATTTGGCCATTCGTTCTAAAAGGAGCATTACAGAAACAAGCATTCACATAAACAAAACATTTTTCTGCCTTCCCCATTACTTTAATTAATGGTATTAAACGGTAACGCGTTTCCTACAATAATGAGGCTTTGTACTGTTGGTAAACAGGGAGTGTTCCTTTACATAGTGCTTTTGCTAATGATGTCATTTACGATGTCCAGTTATACAGAATCTTCATTTATATGCATTCTGTTTTTGTTGGCAGAACCCATTAGTTATCATATAACATTACTCGCACAGCTTTGTGGCTACAGAAAAGGTTTTGCTTCTTAAACCTTCCAATTGGTAATTATTGGTACTGAAAATGACCATTAAATTTGTCATTTTTTTCAGTCTTTTAATTTTCTAGTACCAAAACCACACACGTGCTGTGCCCAAGAAAGGTTTTCTTATGGTTTCTGCTTTGCTTTAGCGTATATTGATACCCTTTACCATTCTTTAATTGCTCTTCTTGCTGTGCTTAAGGATGTAATGCTGTTCAGGATTTAGGGGCGGGGAGTCAGAGAGGGTACTTGAGCCTTATTCATAAACATTGGTTAACACCCTACTTGTAGAGTTAGTTTAATAATTCACGACAAAGTTTTGTCGTCTGGGTGGACAATAGCTTCAGGAGACAGAAAAAGAGTGTGATGTGCATCAGAGTCATTCCAAGTCTCCATGAGAGGTTTCAAGAGACGTCCTTGTAACCTCGTTAGCGTGCCTCAGAAGCTTGCCGCAGCGTGGGAGAAGATCTTTAATTAGGAGTGTTTCTCAAGAGCTTGGGCTCCTAATTTGCTATGCGTCACCAAAGCTCGGGGCTCATTTCAGCTCTGCAGGTCCCAGCGGTCTGGGGTGCCCAGATGGGAGAGGAAACAAGTGGGACAGAGGAGGGCCAGTTGGTACCTTGATGGTCAGGCCTTTTAGTAATGCAGAGAGTAAAGGGAGAAAGAAGAAAAGAAGAATGCTCAACTGTAAAATCATAGAGGTGCTGTCCATTAACCAGTAAGCAATAAAAATAATGGAATTAGCTGGACACATTCTGTACTCCAAAATAAATTATATTCAACAATTCTCATCGTTCTAGTAAGTGAGAACTTTTTTTTACTCACACCCGCCCGCGGTTGTGAGAAATGAACCCGCACCTGCCTGACCTGTGGGTATGAGTCAACCCATGCAACACTAGTGTGTAGCCGTCATGTAATATGATTTGTGCATATTTGAGAGATCCATGGAATATTAGTCCATATTTCCTTCTTTTGTCAAGCATACACAGCTGGACTTTCAGCTAGTAAAATGTGCCAGTTTTATTTTTTTTAGTCAAAATTTTTATCACTATCTCTGTGTGCCTCTCGTGCAGAAAGCCTGCAGGACAGCGAGAGGCTCCCAGAGCTGCCCAGGCTGCGATTGGTCCATCTGCAGGGTGCGGTTATCAGTGGCAGCAAGGTGAGGCCTCCTCGCTGGTTGGGACAGGGGTCACCCTGGGGCAGAGGTTATGGGAGATTACAGACCTTAAATTGGCATTATTGAGTCCATTAGGCCAGGACTCTTATAGTTTTCCTCTTGAAGGTAAAATGTTTCATTTAAAAGACAAATGTGATTGTTTCTGAATTCATTATTTCCATTGCAAGCATTGTTTTGCTTTGTCCTGACTTTGATGCTCTAGGATGATGTTAAGTGCCTTGAACTTGCCAGAAATATCGGAACCAGCTGCAGACCTTTGACTCCAATCGCTTTGATGGCAGAGGGTACTTCTCGCATTGGAGATAATGAATTTTGTGGTTTATGTAAATTCGTTGCTCAGAATGATTGAATGAAGTTCCTGTACTGTCACACTGATCTGATAAGGATCCGCCTCATCAGTGGGAAGGGAAGAGCCGCGGCTCAAGAGAGAAAGAATGAGAGGCAGTGATGAGGAATAGGAGAATTACAGAAAGCAGGACAGGGAGTAGTAAAGTTTAGGTACCATGCTAAACATCCTGTCTCCTCACAGAACTGGAGCCCAGGTCCTTTGTCCAATCTGATCCTGCCCAGATGGGCTCCTCACAGTACCCATTCCACCCCTGTTCACTTTAACACTGGACCGGAGAATGACAATCTGATTCTCTCAAAGTGCTTGAAGGAGTTTTGAAAATTGCCTTTCATAGACCACGAAGGCAGCAACAGCTTGACCAAACGTTTGTGTGCAGGATGAGAACGTGATCTGTCTGAACTCAGCCCCTCCTTTACACTACGTGTAGTCAAGCTGTCCTCCTTCCTCTTGTCTAATCTGAGCCCTGCTGTTCTTTCCCCACCACAGATTTGCATGCGAGTAAAGGGCTCTGACAGGCAAATGAGTTTTCCCAAGTGCACGTCACTGAGATCTTCACGGGGAGGGAAAGCCGCTCTGTTCTGTCTGTCAGCACGTGTTGTCATGTACGCAGAGCGTTTTTTGCTCTGAATGAGCGCTGCATAAATTATCATTAAAAATTCTATTGATTGTTTAGGTTGGAAGGGGGCTTTGGATAGGGGTTTGAATACTAAAGACAGAGTCTGTTTTTTTATGTTGCAACAGTTTTGATTTGGATTTAACAACAAATATTGCAAATTTCTTTTCTTGGGTTTCCTTACAGTATGCATCAGTGTGTCATTTATTCAGTGGCATGAGAAGTGAGTAATGTAATTTGACAAAAAATGTATTTTAATTGACTGACTTAAACCTCCACCTTTTTTATTATTAACACACACTGTTAATTGGAAGGATACTGATGCAGAATTTGATAACTCCTTAGCTGAAAATCCAGTTTTACCCCTGCAAATGTAAGTAAATGTTACTGCAGATACCTGTGGAGAGAATGTGGAGTGATATAGTGTCAGTGTGTTGTTGGACTATAATTGTTGAGAGTCTTCTGTCTTTGATCCAGTGCAGTCAAGTGTGTTTCTGTGTCCATGTGTTTCAGAAGAATGGCTTGGCTGCCATCATGCCCATGGCAGTAAGCGACCTCATGAATGTGCTCAGCTCCTGGTGTTACCATGGCACGCCTGAGCCCAAGGACCCCCGGCTTCTACGGCTGACCCTGAAGTGCCTGACGACAATGATCCACCTCCTGCACGCTAGCAGCCTGGACCAGCGGCAGGTGGACATTAGGAGTGTCCTGGACAACTACTTCCGTGCCCTGAACTGGGATCGCTTGCCAAACAGCCAGGAAGGAGAGGAGAGGTGCCGCTGGGAGGATAACCTCGTCACCCTCCGCACACACATGCTCAGTGAGGACCATGTCTGACACTATAGATCCTACTCCATTTCCATCTCTCCTTCTTTTCTTTCGGAGTCTTTCTCTTGCCTCTTCCCTTTCCTTCTGTTATTCTTCAATCTAGACCATGTACAGGATGATAAGGCAGCAGTTATCACGGTCTGCGGATATTGACCCTCTGCTGTGTGCCCACAGATGCTATCCCTGACATGCTGAATTGTGCTGACCGTCCCGTGCTCCAGGCCATCTTCCTCAACAACAACTGCTTTGAGCATATCCTGCGCCTCATCCAGAACAGCAAGGTCAGAGGGTCCCTGTGCGCCATTCTCTTCGTCTTCTCTGCTAGGCCTGCGTACGCATAGAGAATCCAGTCTTACTGAGTGTCTTCTCCAGTGGTGGTGACCCTGGCAGCTTTGCCATGAGCCCACTGTGGGAGCAGGGTGGCATGGAGGGTCTGGGATCTGTTTGACGAGAAGCCTGTGTTTGTGTGTATGCAGGGAAACGCAAGTATAAGTGTGTGCCGTGCATGTGTAGATGTTTCTGCCTCAAAGTTTGTGTGTATTTTGAGTTTGAGTGTGACTGTAACAAACATTTTCCTGTACGGGGATGTCAGTGACTTTAGAGGGGCTTTAGAGGAGCTGAATCCACAGAGTTTTACATCAAGAGCTCCTGCCTCAGACCCATTGTAGGGTTAATTCCGCTCTGTGGAAAAACATTTTACAGAACTAGGTTTTACAATAGCCACACGAGATTTTCTTTATTAGAATTTTTCATTTTCTTGCATGGCCTACTTGACAGTTTTGAGATATTTTGGGCTCAGAGCCATAGCATATTGCTTATAGCTGCATACAGCCATAGAATTTAGCTAAAGCAGAACTCACAGGTGAAATGAGCAGTGAGTTTGTTCATTGACTATAAATCTTATTATTTTTTTGGCTCATGCTTTTATCCACGGGAATGCACAGGGCTGAAAATGTTAAATTAAAATATGAAATCTACAGAGGCAGACTTCACAAAGTTAAAAACTGGCAAAGCTTCAAACTAAGCAACTTCTTGGGTCAAGATGGGATTAATTGAAATCAAGAGGCAATAGCTGTGAAAGCGCCTTCTCATAATTGGCCTTTCAAAATAAATTCCTCCGATGAGCAGAATGTCTCCACACCCTGTTGAGCAGGAGGATGTGTTGGGAAAGTGTGCAGAAGATGCCTGCCAGTGCAGTGTCTACAGTGCTGTTGTGTAAGACGTGATATTCGCGGGTGTTGGGGGGTGTGAGACTGAGTGTGTGCAGTTTGTGTTTCCTGTGGAGTGCCTGGATGTCTTCCCTTCATGTGTAGTCCATTCCACTCCCCTGCAGTCTAGTGTAACGTTGTGCTTTCCAGTCTAGTGCACTGCTTTACTGTCCAGTGGAACTCTGTGTAGTCTAGTCTAGTCCAGTGCACTGCTATGTTTTGTTGTCCTGTTGAGCCCAGTCCAGCGCACTTTAGGACTATGGAGTCCAGTCCAGTGCACTACTGTGCTCTGTTGCCCTATGGAGTCCAGTCCAGTGCACTGCTGTGGTCTGTTGCCCTATGGAGTCCAGTCCAGTGCACTGCTGTGCTCTGTTGCC